TCACCATTTATGGCACCAAGGTCGCCTACCGAGCCCTCGCCGCCAGATTCTGATGAGTCAGCTTCAGCTGACTCGGCCCGAGTAGCGGCCATCGGCCTCTCGCAGCCCTTTCTTCGACCCCTACCCCGCGCAGCCGTAGGGATCTTAGGGGCTGGAGCCTCCTGCTCGTTGGAGGACGGATCCCGGCCCTCCTTCAACCTGGGACGTTTAAACGTCCCCTTTTTTTGGCGCTGTGAACTCAAGCTACGCAATGAGTAAGCGCCAGATGCGGAAGAGTAGTCAGACTCTGCTTCCGACATCCTCCGACTTAATGCCCGTGTGAGGGATTTGCTGGACGACTCCAACGCTTCCCCACGGGTTCCAGAGCCACCCTGGCTCTCCCCGCCAACAGCAAGCGAACTAAGCTCGCTTGCCCTCTCCTCCTCCGGTGTTTTATTTTTATTTTTATTATTAGACTCCATACAATTCCCACGAGTATGGGGGAAATAAACGGTCCGCCCAGGCAGTGCCCCCTGTACCTGGGTAAGTGTATATTTGTTTCCCAACTAGAGGGTCCACCGGTGCTCTAGCTGGGGGTGCGCTCACGACTGACACTACTCCTCAGCCATGCATACCCTCGCCGCGCACCAGAACTTGGTATTGGAGGAATTTTTTATAGAGGTTATCTTCCTCGCGGTCCGGGCAACCAAGCCAAGACCCTCGTCCCGTTCTGAGTCATGAGACATCCATGATCTCTTCTCGGGTTACGATTTCGACGGTTGCAGTCGAGGACTCATGTGCCCCGATGCTGCTCGTTGGCAGGGTGAGTGCGCAACGAGCACCGCCCTTGCCTCTCCGCCACGTTCTCTGCTAAGTTCAGAGAGACGGGCGGAAAAACATCCCCTCGGAAGCACAGGCTATATATCAGCACACAGCCCGCCGCCTCCAGAACCCATCCTGGGTTCGTCCGCCCCGTCCAGAAGTTAGCTACAGGCAATAGCCACTCCAACCCTATCACTCCCGTTAGGGAAACTATCACCTGTACCCAGGGTGCACCACGGGGAGGTCTTCTGGCACCGCACCCCAGCTCGCGATACCTGCGGGTTCACTTATGCAACTTGAAATATACATACACAGTAGTATTATATATAAAGTTATTATAATTATGACAAAGATTTCACGAGGAAAGATGAAAAGATTATTTTTATTTTAAAACTTTCGTGTGACATACTAATATAAACCTCTAGCATAACTTGAAAATAATCGAGTTCCTCGTCAAATAGTTAAGTGAGAAAACCGAAAATACAATAATTAAAGATGACTTTTATTAAAATGGGAAAAAAAATAAAAATCTTTATACATATTTAATTTGTATTAAATGTTTTTTGCCTTTTCTTCTTACTTTAGCTAAAATAGTTCATAAAATCATAAACAGCATATCCCTAAATTGATAAAATTATCATATTAACGATGTACTTGAGTATCAATTTCGAAAGGTCCTGCTTTTATACGCACCCTGTTCTCTGTCACGGTCTAATTATATCATCAACCTCAAACCGCAAAGTAATTAGGGTCAATAGCAGGGCAGTAATTAATTAGCTATCTATGACTAAAGACAACAACATTTATGGTGAAGTGTTGTTTCTTATGCCTAAGAAATGATGATTTTTATTTTTAAGTTTTTTTTTTCAAAATAATAGGATAGTTTCTTAAATTTTATTTAAAGACCATCTGGTAGATTAATTTAGCCATTTCACAACAATTCTTTTCGCACAAAATTAAATACTTTCGACGATACATTAATTTTAAATATCGTGTGACGTCATAGCGTGCAACATTTGACATAACATATTATATGGGACTCATAGCAAAACTTAATAAAAATATATTACCTCTAAATTGTAGGAAACATGACCCTTCAACAGTAATATGTCTGTCTATTCCCTCAGAATTCAGATATAGAGCGCCAGTATAGCGATTCTGGAATGGTTCTTTAGCCACACGATTTTAGCTTCTTTTTACCTTTTCCAAATAAGCTACAGTTACCTTTCTTATGTAGAGTTTAACAAGTAGGTACTGTAGGTAATTGAACCCTTCATGCCTCGTTGGGTAAATGGTTCTGTACACGAATGAAACAACTTAACCGATTACATTTATTACAGTACTTCTTTTTGTCAAAATAATACTTGTTTATGGCATAAGCCGGGAAACGAGCAGACGGATCACCTGATGGTAAGCAATCGGCGTCGCCCATGGACACCTGGAACACCAGAGGCGTTACTAGTGCGTTACCGGACTTTTCGGGATAAAGAAATTGAGGATTGTTGGGGATTCAGGGTCTGGGGAGATTAGGAGCCTTTGGTAATCTGTCACACTGTCGTATGACAGATAAATAGAATAGAATGTTAACAACGCAGGCGTTAGTTAACATAGAATAGTCCTTCAGCCATTTTATCAACAAAGATAGATGCTAAATTGATATTGTGAACCTCTGCTTACTCCTTTATTACTCGTTTCTATGTTTACATGGACAAAGTCGTGTGAAGTTCTAGTACTCATATGAGGTAAACCACGATACTAGGCGATTCAACCACAAACGTTTATTACTTTTTAACCACACTTCCAATTCAATACATATTCATTTTCCACCACAATTCTCCTTTTGTTAACATTAACAGCAGGCAACTAGAGTTTCTATCAGATAATCTATATTTAATATTATTTATAAATATTTTTGTTACAGTTCTTTTATTTGAAGGTGGAAAAGAGTGAGGGAGGGAGTGTCAGACTCTTACTGATAAAAACCACCCCGTTCCTACTTCTACTCTTTGAACGGAAGCCTCAGCAACCCGTTAAGTCCTCAGCGACTCCGTATCGGTATCAGCCCTGTCGGGCCCCATCTGTGGTGGGCTGATGGCTCCTTGAGGCGCACGCGGAACGCGACGCGCCGTACACTCGGTTACGGGTCTGGTTCTGTTCAGGCAGCGAGTTACCCGTGCTCGTCACTAGCAGGACCGTGATTACAGAGGTTAGAGTTGCCAGATAATCACTGAGAATACTATTACTGCAACTTTTAAAATCATCACTCATTTCTTTGTTCACGGGTAAATAAGTTCATTACATTGACTGTTAACTCACGTACTAAATACAATCTAGTAATTATAACATGTAAAAACACAAACAAAAAATATATGTAAAAGTAAATACCGATTCCTAACTACCTATTCAATGAATAAACTGTTAATTAGCACACCGATTAAAAGCAAATAATGACTCGGTAACTGGGAAGTTAAATAGTACCTCCCTATTCTGTGGACCGACACTCGATGCAGTGTGAGCAATAGGGCTGTCCGCAAACAGTTATTTATCCAACGACGTTCCAACGAAACAGCTTCAAGTTAATGTGCTAAACATTAGTTAGGGCCACGGTTACTCCGACTGCAGGAAGAATGCGCTTGCAGTTGGCCGCAGGTCGTTATACCATACGTCAAAGTCTCTGTGTAAAAATAGTGGTGCTATTGTGTAAGAGTAGGTACTATCAACAAAATGACTTTATGTCTGGGATATTAATGAATGTTTTTGAGTTTGGGATGATGAAAATTTACTTTGAATTTTAGTTTGATATTATATGGGTTTTTAAGGTTTATAGGAAATGCTTTGAGGGACAATCAAATATACTATACTTATTTTAAAAAAAAGCTTTGCTTTCCACTAGGATTTTCTCATGTGTCGTGGGCGCGTTTGCAAACATACAAGTTCACATACAAATGACACCCAGACCAAAAACAACAATTTGTAGATTACATAAATAATTGCTCCGTACGGGAATCGAACCCACTACACGTTGCGCAGCAGCCAGTTGCCCAGCCACCACACCAACCGTGTTGTCAGTTATTAATAAGTTTCACATGAGGTGAGTATTTTTTCATTGGCATGTGAGTTTTTTATGGGATAAACCGGTAAACGAGCAGGTGGATCACCTGATCGGTGAGCCTTCGGCAACCTCACTCACACGACGAAACACAACGAAAGCGTTGTTTCACATCGGTCTTCTATAAGGCCGTGGTATCACTTTAGTCAAGTCGGCCCATTCGTGCCAAAGTATGGCTCTTCCACACCTACAATATTGTGAATATAGCTACAATACTGCGAATTCCATAAAAATACACATATTTGTTAACTTACTACTATAACCTTTATTCAAAAATTAGCACAGTTTCTAGAGGTATACATAAACTTAAAAATAGCAACGTCTTAATACTGTACAGATTCTATTTTCTCAACATTGCGAATCATTGGAATGTCATCAATTACGTCACCGAATTTCCTCTCTTATACGACGTTCCATCTCAGACATAAGACTGTATCTCAAGTAAACTGGAATTGAATCACTTAAAGCCTCCTCCGAGCTCGCTTATTTGAATTTTATGCCAAGGTTACCTAAATTTGTAAAAGAAAGTTTAATTTCCAAAGGATTTTTCTACTCCAATTTTGTTTGGGATTGGTTTTTTGGAACTAAAATGGGTGATTTGATCGGAGTGAAGAAGTATAACTGTTCTGGCGTTCGATTTGTAGGATAGAAGTTACATTGATACTTTGATTAGGAAGAATCTGATATTTCGATGCTACGATATGTGTTTGTGTAATCATAGTTATAAGAATTTCGTTGGTCATTGGATTATTAGCTACGAAACTATATAGAAACCTTAACAGTTTGACTGCCGACAGAAAATTGTTAAAGGTAAATCCTCCGCTATAGTGACCCATACCTTGTCCCCCATGGCGTTCATGGTGTTAAAATTACTTTGTTTAAAATAAGTTCGTGAAAGCGGATTAAAACTATGTATTTATTAGTTGAGTCTAAAATGAACATTGCCAAGTACATGTTTTCTATTAAAACCTTCTTTGTACTAAAAACCGATACGTCTTATAAAAACCTCCATGGACACGCGCTGGCATTTAAGTCAATAAGAAATAAAGAAAAAGACGTTTGTCATAACTTCATGTCAATATTGTCAAACATATGTTTATAGCTTGGTTTTAAAAATAAGTTTTGAATAAAATGAACGAAAAGGCAATATCAGAAAAGGAATTATTGACAGCAATTAAAGACCTATTGAAGAAAAATGGATATTTAAATAAAATTAATGCTGAGGTAAGTCGTTATGATTTATAACTATATCTTTAACTATCCGCATTTATCATCATCATGATTTATTGCACGAGTATCTATTATTGAAACAGAATGCTATGTTTTAGTAATAAACTGATTACCAACATAAAATACTTTTCATTTATTAATGGTCCCCTTATAAAATGATCATTTAGATCTTTCTCTTGTGTGTAACCAGTTTTACTCTTAGCTATTTACATAGAATGAATGGTACTCAATAATTCTTGTTTTCGGCTTACTCACGTAACTGTTTGACGAGGAACTCGACTAGTTTCAAGCCATGCTAGAGGATCATATTCCGCGATCCGCGACGCGCGACAAGTCGTGACTAACCCGAAAAGATAATAATTAATTTAGTATGTCTTATGAGATTTTTAATCTATCTATCTATACTTATAATAAATCTGTAGAGAGGTCAATTCTGTACATAAAATATATTTAAAAAATAACTATCAAGGGGTAGTTAGGGATCGCTACTGATGCCAAAAATGCAATCAGTAAAATTTTTGTCTGTCTGTCTGTCTGTCTGTATGTTCGTTATGGAAACAAAAACTACTCGATGGATTTTAACGAAATTTGGCACAATTATTTTTCATACTCTTGGGCAGGTTATAGTATACTTTTCATTACGCTACGATCAATAGGACCAGAGCAGTAAAGGGAAATATTGGGAAAACGGGAGAAGTTACTCCATTTTTTAAGCTTCCGTCGCGTGTGCAGGCTTATAGGTTAAAGCTACATAGAAATCATGTAGGACGGAAATATTCTCCTTAAAATTATATAAAAAATATTCCTCGACAGCACATGTCTATCTTTTATAGTTGACTCACAATAACACGTGAATCTTCCGATAACTTAGCAATTCGGTGATTTCTGATTGTATTTGTCTACTCAAACGTTCACAATACTCATTCATAGACTTTACGCTGTAACTGAAAGGCCAATGGTTGAAATTAGCTTGACTCGATATTATAAATGAAAATATGTGAGTTTATGTGTATGTTTGTTACTCAGTCATATTAAAACGACTGAAGGGGCCGGAATGAAATTCGGAACAGAGGTAGATTATGGTCTGAAGTGATACATAGGCATTTTACCCCTGGGATCGCGGGCGAAGCCGCTAGCAGAAGCTAGTATAAAAATATAATCCTTGACGGGTATAAACTTTTATCATAGTTAGTCAATCCAAATCAATATACTATATCGCAATCTTAAAAAATAAAAATACGTCAAACATCACCGACATAAAAAAATCGTATCACATTTCCACGCGGTTTACGGTAAACGAAAAAAAAACACGATTACGTAAAAGTTTCTCTCCATTTTTGAATTGGACAACTATTTGTAACCAACGACCGTGGTTGCTATATAATGCGGTTTGCATAATACGACGGCCCATTAAAGTGCTGGGCTGAATTAAAAGCCAAGGTTCATATAAACATTAATGGCAGATCATTTTTATTTAATTTGTTCACTGATCCGGAATACAATTACTTGTTTTACGAACGGTTTTTGTTTGAAATTAATTCCCATTTCATTTAATAGAGGCTATTTACAAGCGCTAGTGTTGCTCATTATCTTTAGGTAATACTTACATATTCCGTTTAATTGGACTATTTTTATATCTTCTTCTTTAACAGCCTACAAATGCCCACTACTGACCAAAAGCCTCTTCTCACACGGAGGAAGTTTGAGCATTAATCACCACGTTTAAATTCAATGCGGGTTGGCGATTTCGGACTTATAATATTAGAAGTTATAAACGCAGGTTTCTTCAAGATGTTTTCTTCACCATTTGTCAGTGGTGTCTAAATAATCTAAGAAATATTAAAGTGTTTAATTAAGTTACTTGCATACTGCTTAATGTGCATATTATATTTTATTTTCAGTTTATGTATTTTACTTTTTAAAAGAAACAATCATAATTTCAATAATAAGTTACTTTTAAAATCTAAAAACTAAACCGTACTTCTACAAAGCTTGTTCTATTTTGGAACTTATATCAAATATTTGAGATCGACAAATGTTGAATAGAATGTTATGTATGTATGTGTGTATTTGAGCACTACACATCACAAATATTTGTTACGTACAGGTACAAAAAGGTTCCAAGCTTGAATGAATTGTATGAAACCTTTTGTTTGGTCAGTCAACAATACAAATAACTAAATATAATTTTATGTAACACTAATGTAATAAGAGATGAGCCTATTAATTGGCCCACATCAGGCGTCAGATTAGACTCCGTGCTAATACTAAGTTTCCGAAAACTTAAAATACCGTAATACAGTGAAACTTGGTTAAGTGGGACCTGTATAAGTGAAAAACCTCCATAACTGGAACTCATGCTGAGGTCCCAACACTTTGGCACTGAATTACCTCTGTTAGTGGGACGAGGTAAACCTCTATATCTGGGATTTGTTCTTTCGATTTATCATCATAGTTACCTCTATAACTGAGACAGCGAGTAAATTTTATATGCCTAAACCTCTGTAACTGAGATAACATTGTTTGTTTACTCATTTTAATTCTACCCACAAATTTCACACGTAATTCAAAGTCCACCCCTATTAATGGAACCCTCTGTAAATGAGACAAATATTTATTTATACCTGTATATCTGAGACACTGGGTAAGTGGAATACCTCTATAAGTGAAACGACATTGCAGGTCCCTTGATGTCTCACTCACTTAACCAGGTTTCACTGTATTACTTTATCCAAACTGAAAATTTAAACCGAGATCCCTGTTTGGCAGCTTTGCTGATTTGTGACCATCACTGACGAAGCAATCCTCTTTTTAATCCTTTGAGTACTGTCATTATAGACACAATCAAAGAACAATAGGTTGCGGTCACCGGTGTCCTCGCGGTGTTTGACAGTTTAAAACAATAAAATGTGAAATTATTAATGTGGCAATGCTAAAAATTAAACACATAACAACAAAAAAACTAAGTCAGGAAAAGCATTACAAATGATTACACAAAAAAAACCAATTAGTAAAATAAACATGAATCAATGTTTCGATCTATTCTGGTACATTCTCGAAACTTAATCACTCAAGTGTGGCCGGTTGACCTAAATTGAAGCAATCAATTACCTAAAGTCATCCTTACATTGCGTTAACGATTCACAACATCACTGTTTATTGATGTGCTTCTAACCCCGGAGTTGGATTTCTGATTTATCTAAGCATACCTACATAATGTGGTATATTAAACAATAATTAAATTCTGTTATTCACGAACTGACAGATTATATTTTATTTGCAGGAATTATATCTAGTCCATAGTATTAAAAAATCATCCAACATTTTGAGTTGTTCAATAAATTAAAAATATATATATATATATTGTGTTTATTTTTAAAGAAAGACCAAAAGGGATATAAATCTATCAGCTACAAAACATAATCACAAAAGACAATAAGCTTGAATACATAACATGACGCAATTTTTTTCTCAAAAGCATAACAAGAAGAATTCAATTCATGCTTCATAAAAAACACCGTTGTCTAAATAAATTATTGTGTTTTCGGCTTAATCACGTAATAATTTGACGAGGAACTCGACTAGTTTCAAGCCATGCTAGAGGCTCATAATCATGAGCAGCATTTCGCGACTTCACACTGTCGCGCTGCTACTGATATGAGTCTCTAGAATGGATTGAAACTAGTCGAGTTCCTCGTCAAATTATTACTCACGAAAGTTACAATACAAACACCATTTTCATTTGGTAATTTCCCTTCTTAAGGTCCGAGCTCAAGTGACAGAACTCCTTCAGCGTCGACAAACGGCTGGAGCTGACACTGCACCCCCCACTCCTACTGAGGAGGTGCTTCTGGTCAACGAGTTGGTTAGGGAATACCTGGAGTGGAATGGGTATCTGTACACTGCGTCTGTACTAGTATCTGAAGCTGCTATGCCGAAGGATAAGAGGTCAAGGTTAGTTTTTTTTTGTTTTTTGTTATGCAGGCGGATCACATGATAGTAAGCAATCGGCGTCGCCCATGGACACCTGAAACACCAGAGGATTTTAGGGTTAGGAATTTGATGATTGTTGGGGAGTCAAGGATTGAGGAAAGGGGGGGGGGGGGATTGGATAACACAACGCAAGCATAGTTTCACGTCGGTCTTCTATAAGGCCGTGGTATCATTACGGTCGAGCCGGCCCATTCGTGCCGAAGCATGGCTCTTCCACACTTAAATTTAGTTGAGACTTCATAGATTTTTTTCATAATGAGAATTATGCAGGTTGAGAGGGCTCAAGTTTCATGAAGATGATATCTTATTGTAACGTTGTAAACGTGTTTACAATAGTAATAATAATAAAAAATAGATTAAAATAAAATAAAATTTAATACAATTACATTATTAAAAGCCTGCGTCGTTGACCGAGCAGTCGCAAATGCGACTCACAGAGTCTGGAAATGTGCCCGGTAATGGCAATAAGCTCACTCGCTATTACATGAGAAAATATATATGAATCTTTTTCTAGGGCAGACCTGTGTACAGAAGTTGGAGTGAGAGATGATGAGAAGTCGTCAGCATTACCTCTATTGTCCAACATAGTTGCAGCATACACTGAAAGGATTAAGAGGAAGATAAATAAGAGCAAGAAAGATGTATGTTGATGTATTAAATAAATGTTTTGAGTAATTATAATTTCTTTTTATTCAATTACTAGCTGTGCCCGCGACTTCGTTTGTAGCGTATTAATATGTAACCTATATGTTGAACTGATCTGAGTGCCAAGCACGAATAACTAGGTATCGCATTCGTAACGTAATAGTATCGAGCGCGTTCGGCGCTCTGATTGGCTGGCTCAGGTTGGCTTTGGCTGAACCAACCAATCAGAACGCTTAACTCGCTCGATACTGTTACGATACGAATGCGATAGTTGTTCGTGCTTGGCCCTCTGTTAGTAATATTCATGCAAAATTTGAAGTAAATCCATACAGCACTTTTTAGTTCATTCCAACCAAATAGACATAAATTCTAAAAACCATATTTTTGGCTTTGGTATCGGCTGTAGATCACGACCCAAGCATTCGTTTAAAAAATATTCAATGTACAGTTTTTACTTTCCTATGATTTTATTATAGGTATGTATAAATTGGTGTCTAAAAAGTAATTGTATAGATGAAAATGCTTTTGTACTGTTTCTGCCAAAATAGTTTACAGTTTACTTGAAACTTTATTAACACACTTTTACCCCGAAGGCGTAGGCAGAGGTGCACATTACGCCAGTTAATGCCACTGTATAATGTAACACCATTTTTCACTATTTTACATTATAAGTCCCGTGTAATAAGAACGCGCATTTTTCCATATACCGGGTACAATTCCATACTCCGTACTGAAACTGAGATCTTTTGTTAAAACCCAGTACCCAATAGTTTGCCCGACCCGGGAATTGAACCCGAGACCCGAGCCCGGCAGTCGCACTAGCGACAACGAGCAACGAGGCAGTCAATAAAAAAATACATAAAAACATAAATCATTTTAACATGGAAGCATGGCATTAACCTGGAAGGAAAAGAAAAGAATAATGTTTTAACTAACTGGGCCACAGAGGTTTAAAACGTATTAGTAAGATGGAAGTAGTTTTAAACTGAAGTTAGACATCACCTGGTTAATTTATTATGCTGGTACCTTCACTGTAAGAAATCTCAGAATCTTTATTTCATGAGGAAGAATGGAGAAACAGTGTAATATGTACCTCTACATACTAAAGTTTGTTCAAGTTTTTTTTTTACTCGAATAATGCTGTAACTGTTGAATTAGCTCATAGTGACTTCTAATGCGAGGTAGCAAGGACGTTGAAAACACTGCTGACACAGTCTCTTGAAACATCCACTGTGGCACCTGGTTACTATAGAGTTATACGCAGAATATAAACACATTGATATGAAAGACATCTGTCATTTTCTTAAGTCCGGTATCGTTACCACGTTACCGTTCACCCATTATATACGCACACATAAAAGCCACTGACATGTTTGTGCCTCAATCATATCTAAGGTCCTTATGTCATTATGCGCCCCTATTTTCTACATCCTTGCGAAATGGATTGAGAATCAGTAGATATGATTAGTGCCATAACCTATTTTATCTTCAACTAAAAAGTTGCAAAACTATATAAAATACCTTTCTAATTGTACCCAATTAGAGATTCAATAAAGAGGCTTTGAGATTCTTTAACTACAAGTCTATATTGTCAGCTGAACTAGTTATTCTATATTTTATATTATTCGTTTTTATTTCCTACCTAACCGATAGCCTAAGAGTGTTACAATACCAATACTCAAGCAGTACATAAATGAAAATGAAATTTAGACCTTGAGCCTTGAGAGGTAATTCAAAAAGATTCACAATGAACTATATTTAGTTTCAAACAAAAAGCTACTATAATTACACACATAACAAAGTTCTCTTTCATCCTTCTTTAATTAAATCTAAAAACGTCAGGTTTGTTCCTGCTAAAGCGTTTGTTTCGTCCCTGATCTGTGGGTGTTAAATAAATTATTCTAGTCTTTTGTCTACCGTGGGTGTTAACATGGATTGAGCTATTTTCAGTTTATTTTTACCCTGAATAAACAGGATTTACGATTTTAGCATACTTAATTCGTTGGTATCTTATAAATTGACAGCTTGTGTCTTCGTTTCTTTCTGTGTCGCAAGTGCGACTGCCGTGTAAGGGGACTTGAGTTCAACTCCCGGGTCGGGCAAAGTATTACTGGGTTTTAAAAAAAAATCATTTAAAAAAGTTGTAGCACAGAGTCTGGAATTGTGCCCGGTATATGGCAATAGGCTCACCCCCTATTACATGGGACTCTAACATAAATAGTGAAAAGTGGGTGTTACATTGTACAGTGGCATAATGTGCACTTCTGCCTACCCCTTCTGGGATAAAAGGCGTGATGTTATGTTATGTTCTTTCTGTGATATGTTGAAATAGAATGTTAGTAGTCACGGCCTGGAATTAAAAAATCATGTTCAATGAAGCAGACAAAACAATTAAGCGTTACTTTAGATTTTAAACTTTAGATTTAGTAATATAAATATATTTCGTTTAATACTTTGTATAGGTACATAATAGAAGGTTTACCTTTAATAAATAAAGTCAAAGTGAATGTTTAGTAGTATAGTATTAAAAATGGCATACTTAACACCTATTACTGTTATCACAAGACCACTAACTACTGAGGCCAGAAAAATGTCCTACAACAATGTTCATACCAGCTTCGATACTTTTCTCAACACCAATCAACTGTTAATCCAGTCAATTAGTTAAGCACTACGTCTGAGCTAATTATGTCGTGTCTGATTGAACATGTACCGCAATTGCTGTAATTACTAGTCTAGAGCTCTGTGGTTATAGCCTAAGCTGAGGTAATCCAATGAAGGTGTACGCACGGCGGTCAGTGCCCGGGCACAATTAACCGGATTCGCTTTGTTTCGGCCCAACACCGGACAAGGTGCCTAAGGATCCGGGTATCGTTATCTAACTTCGTTAAAATGATATCAAGGGCTTATTGATGGTATGTAGGTAGGTACTACGTTCTGTCTATACTGATTTGCTTTTAAGCTTAGATAGATCTGTCATAAATGGTGAATAGTTTTAAAGATGCTTCAAATTAAAAATTCAAATTTCTTTATTGTGGAACACAGGTTTGTACATAATACAGGTCTTAACACTAGAAAGACGGAAAAAATCATCTACCTACAAAGACGGCGAGCGGTCAAATGACTGCTCCAAGTTTTTTGATTTTTTTTTATGTTTAAGTGCTAGAAATGGTACCTATTGTATTAAACATGGTATAATATACTGTTAATTAAGTAATATGTATAGAATTTCTAATTTTATCATTTTGTTTACATTACAAAAGCCGCAAAGCGGTTTTTTGCAATTGTCGCATTCTTTATGGGTTTTGTATTTGCATTTGTGTATATAATATTTTGGAATTTACTGAATTTTGTGCAGAAGATTGAGAAGCAAAAGATCTAGACTATTCAGGCAAGGATTCAGTTTCAGAGAGTATTCTTCAATTTATACTTTGCTTCTAAGTTCGCCCCCTGAACTTAGTATAAATAGCCTTTGTGTCATGTAATATTCTACATTTTCCTATACCAAATGAAGGAATTATATCTAAAAAGGAAAATTATCTAAATTATGTAATATCTTTGCTAGGTCGCATATATGAAAAAAAAATCTATTTCTCCTTTGAGATGTTCGTAACATTTTGACCAGTACTTGCAAAAAGTTTCACAAGACGCATCGGTATCAACGGATTCATCAACATTTGACCAATTAGAGTAGATGCCATTTGAGGTGTGTACAAGATACAGTCGATAGTTGTGAAAAGACCTTGATGCTCAGGATCTTCCAAACTCCTTTCACAGCCTTTATCACTACTACAGCAACGACTACAACCACGAGAACCCGACCTGTCAACGTCTGATAAATTTGCTCGAAGTATAGATCTGGTCTTTCAGGTCACTTCCGTCCGTAGAGGAATTCGAACTGACAAGTAGTACCACATAATCGTCTTCAATATCACGTTTTGTATTTTTAGAGTCAAAATCAGACTCATCTTCACAAATATTTTGGAAGTAACAAACATTTTTTCATTTTCAAGACTCCAACACGTTGCGACCACAAACTACTTTCAATAATTTTGTAAAAGTTCACAGGCACTTGAAAGATACGGTCTCATTTGATAAACAAACTATAAACAATGAATTAGTGTATATAATTTGTATTCTACCCTCTCATATTACACTTATAAACACTCATTGGTTGTCAGCAGTCAAATGACTGCCGCCGTCTTTGTCGGTAGATCAAGATTTTAAATAATAAATAAAAGAGTTGTGATTTATTTTCATACATAGTTGCAATTAACTAGTAAAATAAATAAAAGTCACAAAGTCTCAGTTTAAAAACTCAAATAGATTTCAAGTCATTCAACATTTAAAATCAAATTGCGGTCAAATGACTGCTCCCGTCTTTCTAGTGTTAAATACAATACAAAATACAATTAAGTAGATCTGCCATATCGCGCCCTTTGAGCATACATACTTACTAAGAGAATTATGAATTCGGTTTATGAATGTGCCATACCTAAAGTTAGATAAATCTAGAAACAGTATACTTCCCACTGTTCCGATAGTAAAACAGAAGTCACAGGATAGCAACTGGGCAAAGGTGGGACGGGCCATAGTTATAATATCTTTAAAGTATTGATAGATTGATAGATAGATATACACAGAGTCATTTCAGAGGTGTATCAATAACGCACTGAAACGATATAGAGAGAGATATATAGATAGATACAATCTAAATTGGACTTCATTAAACCTAAACTCAGTGTACACTAACATTACATTCCAGAACTCCACACGTCAATTTCCAATATCAATCTGGAGCCATCATGTGTGCGCTCATCCGTGGTCCACATTCCCGCACAGGGGCGGTAACCCTCAATGAATATAGTTTGTGAAGCTATGCGTAAAGTCCCCATAACTAGGATGCGCTTATATGCACCGCTATACCAAGCGAGAAATGTATCAGCCATAGTGACCATATGTCTGATGTCGATAATGACATCGATGCTTTATTTAATGACTAGTAT